TTGGGAATTAGACGAAGCGACTATGGAGATAGGATGAAATGGATCCAACGTAGCAGAGGGAGACCGGAATGGCCATTTATGGCTTGTCAGCCGTCATCAGCCAGTCATACTCAATCTAAAGGGTCGGAACTCCCGAGATTCGAACCTGGGACCTTTAGTCATTGGGTTCACCACTCTACCACTGCACCACGGGCTCGTTGCTTTGCCGGGCGAGATCGAGGATATGATATTCATATAGGCCTTGCCGATCAGGTAGAGGAACAATTGAGTGCCGCTTCGCCCTGGAGCTCAAAATTAGAGTCCGCATAGGCTGAGCAGAAAGGGTGGCTAGTAAATGAACCTAACAGGAGGGAATAGTACTATCAATCAACTTGCCTTCATGAAGTAATTCTGCTTTTTGGGGCATTTTTAGCAGAATTGCGAATTAGATATTGCTTTTACTGTGGTAGGAAAAAATATTTTATCAATAAATCGGTACAAGATGCAGTCCCAACAAGGTTACTGGGCACTAGAGTGGCCACTCCAGACTTAGTAACATCTTCTGTTAACTCTGCTCGACCGAGATCTTTTACTTGGAGGCCGAGGGGCCAACTGGTGACTCATGGGACACTTCTCCCAAATTATAAAACCAAAAACGTCTTCTGAACTGATATAGGCTACATGCCAAACACCGGTTTCTACATGCAAACTTCAATAAAAGAAAAAGCAGCTTTTAAGACCAATTGCACACTGTTTTTATAAGAATAAATTCCATATTACAATGAACCTGCCTGGTTTCGTGTATAGGTGTTTAGAAATGAATGCAACAGAGGACATGACAACGTTATAACACTAATAATATGCTCCTTTCGCCTACTTAGACAGAATAATGAAAGTAACTTTGGTCTTGTTGAAGCAAGTGTGGCGCAGCCCGCTAAGTATATCCAAACTGCTTCCCATTTTAGAGGAAGTTCGACAAATTCTGCATGATGCTGGTGCCGAACGCAGTCTGCTTGCCCTTCTGACCAACGAGGACGCAGAGGTTCGGGCCGCCGCAGCTAATGTGATCGCTGTGTTTGCGGAGCACAGCTTGGTCCAACAGACCATCGCGAAAATGGGTAGGTTTTTTCACTGTCTAGTTATATTGGTCCCAGATATATAGGAGTGCCACAAATACTTTTCAGGTATTGGCAAGACCTAACTAACGGAACCTACTCAGCATTTAAGGAGGTAGTGACAGTCAACTGTTCAGGATAATAGTACCTACTGGGGTCGCAGAATGGTCCTTATGTATTGTAACCACCTACTTACAAATTTTAAGTTAGTTAAATTACCCACAATCTTCCAGGTTTCTGCACGCCAGCCGTCGACCCAGTAGGGATTATATAATGGCAGGTGGGGGGGATGATAGTGGGGGTTAGCAATGGTATCAAAACTTACTTTAGTGTCCCTGCCTGAGGTTTGAATACGCGCCCCAACTTATCCTCGTAACTTTTTTTTATTTTACAGGGTTATTGCGAACTTATTTGTTCCATGACATGCCCCACCCGTCCTCTCCCGTAAAATCAGGGGCCCGTAAGGCCGATGGGCACAGGGCGCCCACAGGCGGCCCCACGGGGTACTCCTACACTGTTCAGAACTCTCATTTAGTGCTGAAGTACTTGACGTCCACACAAAAGTTTAAAAGGTCCAGTCTATGTTAAATACAAGGTAATAGACTTGCCGTTTTCGTATACATCGAATTTCACTCATAGCAAGTGTGTCGATATATCTGATCATGATCATTTGAAAATCCGCTCAGAAGGCTGTTTCTTTAGATGACACCTGAAAGTCCTTTTACGACCGCGACTTCAGTAATTATAATATAAAACTTTAAAGTCGGGATTAAACGTTTTTTTCATTTTAATAATGAGATAAAAATAATTAGTGCGTCGTTGCCTAAACATAAAAGCCTTTGAGCTCACGTCACAATGTCGCAATAGTAAAAAAAGTTCATAATCACTTATGACTTTACTACGAGTTAAACTGTCGCAAACGACGATATTCGCTCTGCATTCAAGAAAGCCGTGGCGCAGGACGGTGATTTGTGCGTTACTAAGTTGATAGCGAGAGCAGACTTGCACTGCACTTGCCGCGCACTACCCTTCCTCACTTTACTGCGTTCGGTGGCAAAACGAAGTCAGGATGGGGGATTGAGCGCAGTGGCCGTCGAATTTAAACCTTTCCTATATGCCTGCCACACGCGACCTTACCTCCCCCCCTCACGCAGAGAAAAGGTGGTGGAGTGACTTCAAATACAGACCTATAAAAGATGCTAAGTAGTCCTATCTTACCTGGATTTCTCGGTGACGGAAAAACTTGTCTTTTGGTAAAACATATTAAGTCGGAGAAGGTGACTGTTGGAGAAAGCAAAGCCGGTGAAAAATATTAAAGGAAACTTATGAACCTTTCTACATGATGACCACTGCTGTGCATCAGCTTCTTCGTCCTTTTCACTATGCGTGGGTTTTTCCGTCCAACGTTGCAATCATGATAATCGTGTGAGCCGACAATTGTTTGAGTCATGGTTCACGGGCCTCCGGTCGAAAAACAAGTGCAAGGACCTGCCCAATCCATATTCAGTGCTGCGGCTCAATTTGGCCAAAGGAAGTGGCCACTTGGGGAACGCACAGGCTACCGTGTTGTCTTATGCAAACACATAGGGAACCAGATGGCCGACCAATTATCATGTCTAATTCCAGTACGCGTGACGCTAGTTTTGCAGGTCACGGCTCACATGCCGGTCATGCAATCCACACACAAGAGGACAATTATCATTAATTGTCGTTATTTGGCATACGTGTGTATTAATTACGGTGGTCTATAAATACTGCAAATTATTGTGTATGTATCACCCATTTTTGCTACTATTGTCTGCTCATGTCTCTGATGAAGGATCCGCGACGGAGGCGGAAAAGTCAGGTGAATAAAGGCGTTGTCCCAGCGATCGAATCTTTTTCTTTTCAATAAAGAAAACTTAAAAACTAAGCAGCACACTACAGATTGATGCGATACGAACCAAACGTTCCATAACTTTCTTAGGTTTAAAATGATAGAAAGCACACTGTCCATTTACGCGCTGTCTATTTTAATGCATGTTATTTCCGGAGGTTAACACGAAAAGATGTTCGAACAAACGCCTAATCGAGTGCATATAGCTAGTTACAATGTTATTTTGCATCTCTAAATCATACTTACCTAACAGAAAGCGGCCCGTTCATAAATTCGAACGCATGGATATAGTAAAAACATGGTCACTGTCTTCTGTCTTAAAATCTAAAATTTACAGACCGTATATCGCATTTAATGTACGTAGGGTAAAAAATATCCTTCTAAATTAAATTGAAAAAACTGATTTGAAATAAGAACACGTCAGTCGTTTTCTTTCATTATAGGTGGGGTTGAAATACTCACAAGGCTGCTGCGAAGTGAAAACATTCGAATCCGATCAGCAGGTGTTTTTGCTCTCAGCAAAATGACAGCAAGGAATCCTGGAAGTTGCAAGTAAGGGCATCATTGAGATTACACAGATTGCATTTTTTCCATATATATATACGGATTCCTAGTTGACTTTTATTTTTGGAGTTCGGACAGTGCCCTTTTAGGAAACTAACTAACTGGCCTTTTTAATTCACTAACATAATCCTAATTGGATGTACTGCAGTGGAGGTTGTGGCCTATGAATTCAAAAACAAACACAAACTGCTAGCTGGGGAGATCCTTGAAGACATACCTAGTTCAGACTGAATGTGGTTATGGATTGCACGTCGAATCAATAACTTGGTAGAAGGAGTTTTTAGAAAGTATTCTTACAGAGGTGAAAGGAATTAACTTGCTATTTATTTACAGTATTGCATTGTCATGAAGAAATATTTGAGGATCGCGTTAGACCCCCTCTAGATAGAGATTTCAATTGGCTGTTATCAGCTTACCACAGTCATGCATTGCCCAGGTGCTGACAGAAATAACTTCTACTAGATTGAAAGATAATAAAAGACTGAAATGTCAAAGGCCCTGCCAATCTCCATTGAAAGTTTTCGAATAATAAACCACTTTGGGCAAATACTTCATTCGTAAATGCTAGACCATTGCTGTCTTCGGTTTGTATAGTACGTCTGTTCCGCATTCCTACCTTATTACTTTATTCACCTGCGCAAACTTTAAAAATCATCATAGTCCGCTAACTTGGTTTCGGAAGGGATGCAATATTCTTCGCTATCTAGACGTTTGGTGACGGTATCGTATGAAGCTCCACCTAGATACTGTTGTAAAACTTGCCCATTTATTTGATTTAAGTAAGTTTGGAGTGGGGTTCTAAGGTTAGGACTAGTGTTAGGTAGCTATCGTTATGGATAGGATTTTATGGTTAAAATCGTGAGAAGTAGAAGACAACTCGATCGCTGGGTTGGCGCTTGTGGTAGTGTTTGTTGTCTTAGGGTTAGCGATTATAGATTAGATTAAAGAGTTACGGTTTTATTAGGCTTTTAAGATTAGCCTTTATAATTAGCCCCCTACTGAGTCGCAACTACCACGAATGTCTTCATTCATGCCCTGCTAGCACAATCCTCGGACTGGACAGGGGTTGCCGCCCGGGGGAATTCGGGGGAATACGGGGGAATATGGTGGAATACGAAAAAATCCGGGAATGAAGAATTTTTGATTGACGAATTATATTTACAGAGTCCATTTTTTAAGATCCACTTTTTTATCAATAAATTATGAATGACATTATCCACTAACAAAACAATCAATTTGGGGTCTATAAAATGAGAAAAAGGGGGCGGCGGGGGGAAACGGGTTGAAAACCCCGTCCTGAGCCCCGTCCTGAGCT